CCTTTTCTTTTCTCCAGCTAAAAGGATCCCAGTCCTTCTTGAACTCCAATCCTCCCAACTCTTCCCATCCTGAACTGAGCTTCATTCATTAGCTAGAAGTCCACAGCTTCTTCAACCAAGCCAGGATGGAGAAGAACATCGAACGGAACAAGTGAAGGACAAGGTCGGGTTGGATTATTTTCAAAAGCAGGCAATCTCTTTTGCTTGTCCTTCTAAAGCAGATCACTCACACACATCCTCTGGACATCATCTTCCCAGAGAATCCGCTCAGCCCCATAAAACAGAGCAAAATTCTTCTTATAGCTCTCAAGCTTCCTCTTTCTGATATATATTGAAGATGGACAGTGATTAATATATGTATTTATTTATATGTACGTGTGTGTGTGTGTGTGTACCATTTGTCAAAAAGCAAGATTTTCACCAAACTAGATCTAAGGGAAGCCTACTACCAGGTTCGCATAAAGGAGGGAGACTATTACACACACCCATACATATGTATGTATATAGCATGTGTATGTGTGTTATGCATATGTACACTTTTGAGAGCAGGCAACAGAATTTCATTTTTAATGTGTGCCAGTGTGCCAACAATAAAAAATGACAATTAAGGCTGCCTGTCTCTCTGTCTATACATCCATCTCTATCTAGTTGTCTATCGATCAATCATCTATTATCTATCTACCGTGTTTCCCCGTAAATAAGATCCTGTCTTATATTTTTTTGAACCCTGAAATAAGCGCTCGGCCTTATTGCCATGCACTCAAAAGCCTGATTGGACTTATTATCAGGGGATTTCTTATTTTGGGGGAAACAGGGTATCCATCTATCCATCCATCCATCCCTATCTATCTTTCTTTCTTTCTTTCTTCTATCCATCCATCCATATCTGTCTGTCTGTCTGTCTATCATCCATCCATCCATCCATCCATCCATCCATATCTATCTATCTATCATCAAAAAAACACCAGCTTTTCTCTGAATTCTTCAAATGACGTTCAGATGCGAGTGCCTGCCCTCCAAAAGCTCAAATTTCTTCTTCCACACATACAGGTAGTCCTCGACTTACAACAGTTCATTTAGTGCCCATTCGAAGTTACAACAGCACTGAAAAAAGCCACTTGCGACCGTTTTTCACACTTACGACCTTTGCAGCATCCCCGTGGTCACCTGATCAAAATCCGGGATGCTTGGCAACGGGTTCATATTGACGACCAATGTGGTGTCCCAAGGTCGTGGGAGATCACCCTTTGCGACCTTTCTGACAAAAGTCAATGGGGAAGCCCGATTCACTTAACAACCGGGTTAGTAACTAACCATAGGCAGTGATTCACTGAACGACTGTGGCAAGAAAGGTCGTAAAATAGGCCATAAAACTCACTTAACTAGAGAAATTTTGGGTTTAGTTTGTGGTCGTAAGTCGAGAACTACCTGTATGCGCTGAAGGACAGTTTATTCAGGCGACAAGGCACAGGCCCAGCTTATGGGAAAACCGAACATATGTACAACTGTAGAGAATCTACAAGCCCTCATTCTCTAACTGTAGATAGTCTACAAGCCTTAATCCTCAAAAAAGATGCAGGAATATTCCGGAGAGCCATCTAAAGTAGGGGCCTCCAACCTTGGCAACTTTAAGCCTAGCGGACTTCAACTCCCCAAAGCTGGCTGGGGAATTCTGGGAGTTGAAGTCCGCCAGGCTTAAAGTTGTCAAGGTTGGAGGCCCCTGATCTACGGGATTGTTGGTAAAGAGAGCGCATCTGATTTGCAGCAGAAACAAGATTTCTTTTTATTTCCCAGGTTGGCATCCGTAGCAAAGGCAAGCATGGAACCTTTGTCAAGAGATCTGGTTGCAATTCAGAACGCGGCCAATTCAGAAAAGGCAGTTTCTACCCACTTCAAAAACATATGAAAGGGGCAAAAAGCAAGGGAAAGGGGGAAAAAAAGGGGGGGAGAGGAATGTTTACTTTCCTGTAACCCATCCCCTATTTAAACCTCAGTAAGTTATTACAACTTTTCATTGCAGATAAAAGCTACCCAGATGTCCGATAACCGCTCATTTTAAAAAAATCTTTTTTCAAATAACACTTTCCAGCAAGCTATCTCAGCGGTGCAAAGACAAAAAAAAGAGAAAGAGAGAGAAAAGTCAAGAGTCAATGAACATTTAGCACTTTAAAGAATTCCTATGTAAAGTCTTGGCCGGTGCGATCACCAGTTCCACATTTTAAAACAGAAAACCTCAGCTGCGAATGCTTCTACTTGTCTTTCTAGCTAGGCAAACTTTCAAGAATTGTTCCAGATTTATCAGAATTCTATTCCTTTGTCCGTTAAAACAATCCTTCCTCTTCGTTAAACATACTTGCAAAATTATCATTAACCGTGTTATGTTGGGTTGGGTTCATTCTAGGCTCTCTACAAGGCCGGAACATCAAACTTGACAGAGACCTTACAGAATCAGAGAGAGGAGATCAAAAAACAATTGCAAGGATGAAAAAACTTTAAGAGAAAAAACATCTTTTATTATTATTATTATTATTATTATTTTTACCCTGGGAGAAGTTATCTAAGCCGTCTCTCTTGAGAAAGCATTCTGCTAACCAGGCGAGCAATGTGATTTCCTGCTGCCCCCCCAAAATCCCCACCCTTCTTCCTTTTTCAGCAGCAGACCAGACAATCCAAGATGGTTATCAATTCGCAAACCTTTTAAAAAGAGGCTCCTTTTAAAAGCTAAGTCTTCGGTTTGCTTATTTCATGTGGTATCCTGCGGAACTGAACCCCACCCTCTTGGCATATTTCATTTTTTCCCCCCTCTCCTTTTCAACTATTTAAGCATTCTTATTGTATAGCCTGATTCTTCTGTTTTTGGTAGTTTCTCTCCCCCCCCTTAACTTTCTTCTATATACGACTCTGTTTCAAGAAGGTTGAAAGAGAATACATGTTTTTTAAAGCAGGGGGTGGTGGAAAACCTTACTTTTCTCTTTTTTCCCCTTTCCTTCTGATTAATTCTTATTAGCTGCCTTTGAACATACAGAATCCTCTTTTCTCAAATAACACGCCCAGGGTATATATTACGTTGAGGTGGGGGGGGGGAATCAAACAGGATACACGTAAACACAACCCAGGCTGAAAGCGATTCTTAAGACTGAAAAGCCCACACATACAAACAAGACACACAAATGTTGAGCACGCTTACTGCGGGGAGCGGAGGGGTGGGGGAAAAGGATAGTCTTCCCACATTCCAGTTGTAAACTAATGAATGAGAGTACGGATCTTGTATAAATCCAACACAGATTCCTCGGCCAAAGAAAACTTAGCTTTCAATAGATGCGCAAGTCCAAACGAGTATTTTTGGGGCATTAAGCAAAAAGCTATTAAGGGCTTGCACGCTGCATCAACCAAGAGAAAAAAAAAATGGGAGAACTACAATGCTTTCCTGTGGGATGGGAGTGGGTTGGTTAGTTATTCAAGGGTTCCTCTCTAGAGTAGTGTTTCTCAAACTTTACTGTATATATCTGGACTTCAGCTCCCAGAATCTCCCCCCACCCCCAGCTAGTATGGTGTTCCTTGGGGGCTAATCTTAAAATGTTCTTTTTTCCAAGTTCTCCTCCTCCAGAAATCAGCCATTCCCAGATTAAATTGCAAGCCACCAAAACGCCTTACACCCAAACCTTAATCACCAGAAGCCAGCCTCAACTTGCAAACTTGCAAAAAAGCAGGAGCCTGCTCTGGCACACCCTTTAACAGTGGACAGTCTATAATTTAGCTCTCTGTGCATAAATCACATAGGCAGACGTTGCCTTCAGCGAACTGTGGTACTGCCAGCATCTTTGTCTAGGCTCCCATATAGCTCTCAACAAGGGAGGACAGATAGAAGCTTGTAAGACCAGAAATGTGATATATGACCAACTTAATTCCGCAGCTGGTAAAACTCGGTCTTGCAGCCGTGCAACCTGAGGCCAGGCCAGATGTTGCTGAACTACAGTTCCCAGCATTCCCAGGAATGGCTATTTTTTGCTAAGGATGCCGTGAAGTATAATTGTTCAATGAAACAAAATTGAAAGAAGACAGACCACGCTACAAAAAAACCCCCTCACCCATATTCCTGGCCTGAATGGCTAGAGTGCAACACATTTTAAAATGCTCAGAAATAATCAAAATCTGGAACATGCAAGGTAATTTATTCTCGTGAGGCTAGATTATCATACACATTCTTATACACTGGAAGATTTTCAGATATGGGCCTGTGGGGGAACGAGACTTCTAGCAGAAACGCAAAATAACTGTGACCTATTTGCAACCTTTCATGAAAATGCAACAGAGGATTTTCAAATCACACGGAAAATGCAGACTGATTTATGTCTGGAAAACGGGAAATTCTGCACAACAATCCATCCATTCCACATCTGCTCAATGATGAGATCCATCAGCATGCTTACACACTTCATTAGCTTGACTTTCTCTTCATTCCCAACACTGGTGAACATACAACAGCTGTCCAACCCCTGATGTCCACAGATGGCACAACCACCACTTCCAAAATTTCTAACCCCCGAGGGAAAACTCCTGCTAAGATTTTCATTCCTGGAAAAGCATTAGATCTATTCTACCAGGCAACAGAGCTTACATCAGGATGCTGCTTACAACACAGATTCACAACTGGTTGGGAAAGAGCCATCAAGATGGATGTTTCTCACCCTTGTCTACTTTTAAGATGCATGGATTACAACTTCCAGAATTCCCCAGCCAGCTGGGAGGTTGAAGTCCACCCATCCTAAAGCCAACCCAGTGAAGAAACATTTCCCCATCTTACCAACTTTTAAGATAGTTGGACTTCAACTCCCAGAATTCTCCAGCTAGCATGGCTGCCTGAGGAATTCTGGGAATTGAAGTCCAGCTATGTTAAAGTTGCCAAGGTTAGGAAACACTGCTCCAGAGGTCAAACCTCCTTTGTTAGAAAAAAAACCATACAACAACAGAAGGGGCACAGAAGAGATCTTGAGTCTTACCTGCGAGCCCCTCAGGGGCCAGAAAATTAGTTCCCCTCGTTTCGGTGGAAGAAGGCACAGACTCTGGACAACTCGCTAGAAGACAAAAACGAATGGAGAAATTAAGTATGACATGAGGCTGCCCCCCTCCCCAATACTTTAAAGCCAGGGGTGGGCTGCTGGGGGTTCGCAGGGGTTCGGGAGAACCTCTAGCTAAGATTCTGCACAGTTCGGAGAACCCCCAAATCCCACTCCTGGCTGGCCCCGCCCACCCCATCCTGCCACTCCCAGGAGTCCCCACGTGGCCCGTTTTGGATGCAGGTAAGTGCAGGGCACGCATGGAGGCTCGGGGAGGGTGAAAAACGGGCCTATTGGAAGTTCGGGAAGGCCGGAAATGGGCCCATTCCAGCCTCCAGAGGGCCTCTGGAACCTGGGGAGGCCATTTTTGCCCTCCAGGAGGCTCAAAGAAAACCTCTAGAGCCCGGGGTGGGCAAAAACGCACACACACCCCGCCGTGGTGCAGGAGGCCAACTAGCTCACACCCACCATGGCCATCCCCACCCAGCAACCGGGCAGAGAACCCCTTGCTAAAATTTTTGAAGCCCACCCGTTTAAAGCCCAATACAAGGAAGTCTTTAGCGAAATGAAACGCATTCCACAGAGTTTACTAGGAAGCGATTACTAATTGTCTGCACAGAGTTATGTTTCATGCAACACCCACCCTTGGTCTTCACCACCACGTCTGCTCCATCATTAGTCAAAGAGACGAAGATTATAGACCGGCTGCAAGTCATCCTCCCTCCCAATGCACAACCCCTTTCTTCGGTTCAACTGGTTTTGTTTTCCTGGTCAACCCTGGCGACCGAATTCCAGTTTGCTGAACCGAAAAAGCTGAGAAACCCAGAAGGAATTTTCATGACTACCCTATGGCCTGTCCATTGAGAAACTCAAGCCGGAACCCAGAGAGCATAATGCCAAAGATGTTTCATTCTGTTCTCCTTTAAAAAAAATTTTTTTTCCCTCTTTTCTCACTACAGGTAGTCCTCAACTTACAACCGTTCGTTTAGTGTCCGTTCGAAGTTACAATGGCACTGGAAAAAAGTGACTTATGACCGTTATTTCACACGACTGTTGCAACCTCCCCATTGTCACGTGATCAAAATTCAAATGCTTGGCAACTGACTCATATATGTGACAGTGGCTGGGGTCAAATGATCCCTTTTTGCGACCTTCTGACAAGCAAAGTCAGTGCGGAAGCCAGATTTACTTAACAACCGTGTTACTAACCTAACAACTGTTGTGATTCACTTAATAACGGTGGCAAGAAAGGACGTAAAATAGAGCAAAACTCATTTAAACAACAGAAATTTGGGGCTCAATTGTGGGTCATAAATGGAAGACTGCCTGTGTTTCGCTGAGAATTGCCCCTATATGTTAAAGTATGATCAACTTATTCTCTCTATTCTATTCCAAATATGCTTCCCCATCAAATCATTGGAAAGCGTAATCTTTTAAAACCGAGGCCAGGAAAAATATATAAATTAGAAGTTGATTTATCTAAAGCTGTGCCCAGCCAAAAACCGCTGGCACTTGGTCAATATGGCTACGCAAATTTGAACAACCTGTCGGAAAAGAGATACGTACTTTAAAACGGCCTATTTTTAAACAACCGAAAATTATTTTTCCGATAATTGCATTCCTTCTTTCACAGAAATGGAAAGAACCCACTTTTTAATGCCGGTGACATTCCATAATCTCCTTTTTATCAGAGTTAAGTATAACCCTGAACAGGAATATACAGTTGAACAGGATGCACTTAATCAAACTGAAAACAATGGAACATACAGGAAATTGAGTTACTTGTGAAATACTGTAGACTTTCTCAATGTGTGGCATTTCAGTGGTCTAAGGAAACAGCTATTTTATAATTAAAACTTTAACAAAGGGGGAAAGTGGCCATCAGACAAATGCTTTGGTTGGAGACTTCCCTTAACCAAGGATCTAGGCCTCATTGAGGCAGTTTGGGTAATACCACCTCATAACAAGAGGTAAATTAGGTGCATGTGAGTGTGTGTGTGTGTGTGTGTGTGTGTGAGAGAGAGAGAGAATAGAGACCGAGTATTGGAATTTAAGCTCCTCCTCTTCAGATGTTGTGTGATGTCACAAGTACAAAAGGGGTGGGGCTTATATGATGATGCTCCATTCCGCATCTTGGCCACTCCCCTCTCCCTGGACACCTGAGGCTGACTTTAACTTTGCACTCTTCAACTATTTCATCACTTGTAACCCACAGCCAGCACAATGTCACACACACAATGTTATTTTTAAACACATTTAAAGTACTGGGGGAGGTCAGCCGCAGTCTTCCTCTCTCGCTCTATGCAAGCCAAGACTTTTTCTTTAAAGTAGGGAAAGAAATTCGGAGACCCAAAATGGCACAGAACATTCAAACTCACAGACCCACTATATAAAACGGCTTACTTAACTGTTTACAAATAGTCCTCAATTTACAACAGTTTGTTTAGTGATTGTTCAAAGTTACAACGTCACCGAAAAAAGCGACTCATGACCGTTTTTCACACGACCATTGCTGCACCCCCATGGTCAAAATCTGGATGCTTGGCAACTGACTCGTATTTATGACGGTTATAGTGTCCCAGGGTCATGTGATCATTTTTTTGTGACTTGGGTTGTCCAGCACCCAATTTTGACCACGTAACCTGGGATTGCTGGAATAGTCATAAGTGCAAATGACCTGTCATGCATCAGCTTTTTTCAATGCCGTTTTAACTTTGAATGATTATTAAATGAATGGTTGTAAGTCGAGGACTACCTATCACTTCCGCCCAAAATGAGGATTTGCTTTGGGTTTAAAATTCCTGATTTGCATGGAAAGGACAAATCAGTAATCAAAATCAAGTATAAAAGTCTTACTTACAAAAACTGGTTTTACATATGCAACTTTACATGAAATCAATTAAGAGTACTATTCTGAATGCCAACTGATGACTCGTATGGTTAAATCCGCTAGGACAGATCCTAATGATATAAAGAAGACTTTCCCCTAAGCAGATCTATTAGATCTGGGCTGCAAGATCTGTAGATCACTAGACAGATTTTGTGTCTCTGCTTTGCCCTGGTTTTTGACCAGAATTTAGCAGCCAGATATGGCAGCTTTACGCATGAGTAACACAGTGCTAATTCAGCTTTTAACAATCAGCTTTTGCATCAAAGTGAAACCAGTGAAAACGCCCCAAACCATCAAGGTGAAAACAGTGAAAGTGAAAACATGAGGTAACAGCATGACAAGATTTCACCCATCATGGGGGAAAATGGAAATGCACAAGAATGTGGAAATACATGCACCAATGTTGTCTCTCTGCCCCTTTCAAGAAGACCACAATGCTCTTTGGTCATCTGCACAGAGTTATAATAATTTACCATCCTGTTTTACTACTTATCTTGTCTTTAAAAAAAAACAAAACCTATTTTAATTGCACATCTTTGAATATATATTGTATATTGTATTCGATTAACCTGAGATTTTACAACCTTTTTAAAAGGTTTTAGAACACCCTGATCTGGGGAAAATACCCCATGTTTATCTATCTCACAAGAGCTGGTTATTGGGAGGGACTATATATGATGTCCTCCAGTTGCCATTTCAAGAACAGAATTTTGTAGTGAATTTTGTAGAAACAACAACTATCATCAATGAGGTGAAGGCCTATTTTGGTAAAGATAAATTGCCAAAACAATGTCGACCAATATTTTGACTTAATTCAATGGGTTCGTTATTGGCTTACAGCAAGCAAATTAAATCTAGTCATGCACTTCTAATTTTAATGCTTTTCTTGCTTCCAGACGCAAAAGTGACCTCCAACCAAGAGAGATACAGGTAGTCCTCAATTTACAAGAATTCGTTTAGTGACGGTTCAAAGTTACAATGACACTGAAAAAAGTGACTTATGATTATTTTTCACACTTAAGTCTGTTGCATCATCCTCTCGGTCGAAGTTGTAAAATGGAGCAAAACTCACTTAACTAATGTCTCGCTTAGCAAAATAAATTTTGGGCTCAATTCCGGTCGTTGAGGACTTGCAATCTGTTAATATACAGACAGATGAGGCTATCTTTCACAAAATTTTCCTGATTTAATCATTGGACGGTCCCTTATTGGTATCTGAAAATGATCCTGTTTAGACTCCACAGTTGCTAATATTAAACTACTTAAATTAAGTGTTATGGCTTTCTTAGAGTCCACAAGAAGTCATCCTGAACAAGACATTTAAGAGTGACTAACGCTTCACTCAACACTTCATCTAAAAACATTTCTGACAGAAAAGGTATCTTGCGCCAGGATGCTGAGAACAGACTGAGAAGAATTTAAACTCTCTTTAAACCCTTCGGTCAAATAAATCCTTCTTTAGATGGGAGAAATTGGGAAGAAGGAAAAAGGGCAAGAATAGATGATTCTTCCAGAATGTGAGATAGATAGATAGATAGATAGATAGATAGATAGATAGATAGATAGACAGACAGACAGACAGACAGACAGACAGACATAGATAGATGATAGATAGATAGATAGATAGATAGATAGATAGATAGATAGATAGATAGATAGATAATCTCATGCACATATGAAGTCACAAATGCATTTACTTTAAAACACTGCTTCTCAACTTCCGCAACTTTAAGATGCGTGGACTTCAACTCCCAGAATTCCCTAGCCAGCCATGAAATCCACCCATCTTAAAATCCCTGAAATTGAGAAACCCACTCAACTTCTCTGTCTAGAAATCTTAACTTTTTTTCTCCTAGCAGGCCAAATGCTACACCTTTGCATCACGGCTGATTAAATCCACACCATTTGGATATAACTGGTGTCTGGGCATAGTTAAAAAATGTGTGAGCTAACTGTTCCAGGCCTGCATAGATAGAGCCTGGGACATGGGTTCTTCCTCCATATGGTTAATAAGTGCTCTATAAAAAAAAAGAGAAAACAGCTCCGGAAATGAACTTTGAATCTTCAAAACAGGCTTACTAACTCCAGCAACCTGAATCCTTCCTATGCAGGAAAAAAAAGCAAACTC